ATATAACTTCCGGGTCATGTGACCTGATGACGTCACACCAGTTGTAATATCTTCACACACACCTGACACACATCTTACACGACTTGGATTTTCGAAATATGATTTTGGGTATTTTTGGTGAATTTTAAAAATCATTCACTCTATATAACTTCCGGGTCATGTGACCTGATGACGTCACAGCAGTTGTAATATCTTCACACACTCAAATATGTAAATCCATATAACCTCCGGGTCATGTGACCTGATGACGCCACACCAGTTGTAATATCTTCACACACATCTGACACACATCTTACACGACTTGGATTTTGGAAATATGATTTTGTGTATTTTTGGTGAATTTTTCAAATATGTAAATCTATATAACCTCCGGGTCATGTGACCTGATAACGTCACACCAGCTGTAATATCTTCACACACATCTTACACGACTTGGATTTTGGAAATATGATTTTGTGTATTTTTGGTGAATTTTTCAAATATGTAAATCCATATAACCTCCGGGTCATGTGACCTGATGACGCCACACCAGTTGTAATATCTTCACACACATTATTTCAACAAATGACAAGCAAAATCAAATCCCTAGGAGCTTGGGGAAAGTTTTGTAGCATTTTCAAATGCTGGTTTAATGTGCTAAGACAGTGATGCTAAAAGACATGCAGATGAGCCAGAATATCAACGCGACATGTTTAAATGTAAAGCGTTTTCCTTTCTTTAGAAAACTGTAATCTAGAAAGCGCTTCTGGATTAAGATATTGATTTCTAAAGTTCATATTTTGGGCTCATCTGTTTTTCCACACATATTATGCTTTATTAGTAAGATGTGTGTACAGAATGTGGTCTTTAAATATCACTGTCTCGGTGCATTCTTTATATGAGAGGAAAATGCTTAACGTAAATAAACGCGTTGCGTTCACATTTTGATCTTATATGCGTATCTGCACATAGTATATGCTTTACAATTTTGTCTTTATCACTGTCTTGGTACATTAAGCCACTTTAAGCATTTTAGAAAGTCCCCTGTTCAAGTTCTGCTAATCTACAAGCCTAGTGAGAGTAATGCTCGCAAAGAAGGTAATGTCAACTATTAAACAAACCAAATCAAAACTTTCAAAAACACAGCAATGTGATTCTTTTGAGTGAGAGTCAGTGGGTTTAATCAGTGACATTAACAGATTTACTATTCTCCGCGACCTCCTTCCCTTGGTGTTTTTACACATAGAAAAGGCAAAAAAACCATATTGCATTGTCCAGTTTTCTCTCAGAACTATGATCTGAGTTACTATTTCAATTTTCGATGCAGTATGAATGACATACACTGGTGACATTTTTCACAATCACGACAAACAATCAAATACTGCCCTAAACCTCAATAGCGGAAAGGCAGCGCTATCCTGCAAATATGGCGGATAAACAAAGCAGTTTCCCAGAACTCAACGCGGCGTTACGTCACATTCTCATTCTTTATTAGTATTGGTAGGTTTAGGAGTAACTTAGGTGTGTGGGAGGGGTTATGATTAGGGAATCAGGTAGTGATTTAAATAATTTGGGTAATAATTCGGCAGGGGGCCAGAATTCGGCACAACACCTGCGCTCTTGCGATATTACTTGAGTAGATTATGCTACAGTAAAAGCACTTATCAGGATTATCTATCATATTTGTTCACATCCGTTTCTACATTTAGGTTTACAAATAGGCCCTACCTTTTGTTTGAAGCGTCGCTCATCTGCCGTGATAAAATCACAGCCTTTATGCATGTCCTGCAGACAGGTACTGCAAATGCATCTCTGGTGCTGATTGCAGTAGAACTCCATCAATTTGCCATGATTTGAACAGAGACGCTCCATCAGATCTGGCAGCGGATCAGTCAGTTGATGCGCCCGGAAAATGGCATTCTCCCGGTGAGGCCTGACATGATCCTCACAATAAGACGCCATACATGTCAGACAAGTTTTGACGGCTTTGGCTTCCATGCAGTTATCACATTTGATCGCATCTGGATCTTTCTTTTTCACCTCAAAATGTTCCTTGACTGGTTCAGAGACACCCGCTTTTATTCTATAGGCGTCCAGCACCGCGTTGAGGACGGTGTTCTTCTTTAGTTCAGGTTTACTGGGGAACACCATTCGGCAATGAGGGCAGGACAGAGATGATATCCTGTCGTTCCATGTCGCTTCGAGACAGTTGGCGCAGAAACTGTGTCCACAGATTAAACTCACCGGGTTCTCGAATAGACATAAACAGATACTGCATGTCAACTCGTCCTCAAGACCCAGTAGAGACATATTTTCCGCCATTGTGACACGTCCAAGTTAACAGCGATCACTGAGTCAACACTCAACTGCTTGCCCTTAGTGAAAACGAAACTTATAGTGATGTGTCGTTCGCGAACGAGCCGGCTCTAAGAGCCAATTCTTTGTAGCGAACGAGAAGAGCCGACTCCCGTCGGGGAGAGCCGAATCTTCAGCCGGAGCCTTCTATTTTAACCCAGTTTAGCAATTGTAAATGGTTTGTGTGTTGGGAAGCAATTTTTTTATTCAGTGTCTTTATGAAAGCATTACTTTTTTTGCATTTTTTCATTACAAAAAAAACCAACTAAAAAAATACACATGCGGCTAATCACATGGGAGGACAGACTAGGATCATACCATTATGTGAAAGAAGGAAGGGGGACACACGCTACGACGATAGCGAGTGTAGTGGTAAAGACTAGATACACAGAGCGACAGAGAGAGACGGGGAGGCTGGATTTAAACGCAAGCGTGTTGGTTAAGGTAGGAAGACGCTGCATTGTTGCAACATCGGTCCCCCTCAGAGAGTCTTCTCAAAAACAGGACAAATAATCACAGAGAGGAGAAATCGCATCAGCACCTCCAAGCTGAGGCATCTGATATTTCTGTATGCCAACCTGCACTAAACACTAAAGTGTCTTAATGTTAAGACTTGTGCCTTTTATTTATTTGATTTGTTTGCTGTGGTTCTGTGTTCAATTGTTCAATTAAAGTTGTATTAAAATGTTAAATAATAGAAACTGTATTTTTTTGTAACGGAAAAATGCATAAAAATAAGGCTATTATAAAAACACTGAATAAAAAATTGCTTACCAACACACAAATTGGGCTAAAATAGAAGGCTCCGCGTGATACTAAATTAAGAGCCATTTGGGAGTCATAAGAGCCGGCTCTTCTAAGGGAGCCGAGTCAAAAGAGACGAATCGTTGAAAAGAGCCGGACTTCCCATCACTAGGCGGAGAAACGAAACTTCAACGGTCCACACGACACAGAGTCATGAATCAACTAATGAATTAAGAGTTGTCAATAGACAAAATATTACAAAAATTACCTGCTATTGTTTCTAATTTTGAATGTACTGATATCCTTAGGCCATATGTAGAAAATGTTTAATTTAAATAAGTACATTCTTTCATGCTACATTCAGATGGGGATTCAAAGGGTATAATACCGTTTATATAAAAATAAAACAAATTTGTTGCGTTGTGTCTCTGCGCAGATTTTTATTTTATTTTTGAGTAAAGGTACAAATATCATAGTTTTTTTTTTCTTCAAATGTACACAAGAGGGCGCTGTTTGCTTATAAAATCGTTGTTTGAATATTTGGTTGGTAAAAGCAAGACTGAAAATCTGTGTAGAATTTGGAAGATTCTGAAGAACTCTTTGAAGAATAATTTTTTGCATTATCCTTATTTTATTTAACTATAGTCGCTACATCAAGGTGTTTATTACAGTTGCCGTTCAATTTCACTAGTAAGTCCCTTCAGCAAATTGCATTGATGGAAAAAGACCTCATCTCTGAACAGTGGCAGAGCCAGGATGTGTTCACAGGGGTGGCCAGGGAGGGGCCAGTAACCAGTCTGGGGTGGCACAGAAATATTCATTATTTCAATATAAAAATGTTTCATTGTAAAGTACTGGACTGTTTTATTACCTATAACACAACTGAATACAATTCATTTCTATTTAATTGTAGTTGAGATATTTGTGAATGAGGTCAAGTAATACTGAGTGAATATGACAATTTTTGTATTATTCCTCACCTCCAAGTATTTTAATAAAGGGGCTCACTATAGCTTAATTGCTCAATCAGCTTGGTTCTGGTTCTTAAAACCCCCTAAAGCTTGTTCTCCATCATTGCATACTGAGACATGCAGATAGTGTGATATATAAGAAAGTGAAAAAGTCAACAGCACATACATGCCAGAATTTAAAATGAGCTATTTTATGCATTTAAATGGTTTCATTTTCGTTTGTACTTTACAAATTAACGAGAGAAAAAAGTATATTTTTTTGTATAAGTGCACTGTGCTCACTTTTACATGTGCATTAAATTACAAATAAAAAATACATAACCTATCAGCTTGCGCCTTATATTGTGATCTCGAGTTGCAGAATAGGCTATATTTTATTTGCATTTGAGAGACGTTCTTTAATGTGATGCATATATAGCCTACATGCATGCACAGTTTGCAACTTTAATCGTCTTTTTGGTGATTTCATGACTTAACTGACGACAGAACTACATCGTATGCTCAGTTTTGTTTTGTTTTTGTTTTTTGTGTGTGCTTTACATATAATGAGGATATATAGAGCGTGCGCCTCATACTGAAGACTGTGAAGAGTGTGCGCTCTGAGCACAGTACGGCTGACAGGACAGGAAAGTTTGTTTTACTGACATACAGCCTAACAACATCTCATCAGACGCAGTTCACTGTTGTTCTACTGAAGCTCATTTGGCTCCTGTACCTTTTCCGCGCTCGTTTGACTTGCTCGATGTTGAAGTGCGCGTCTGAAAAGTCTCCCGTTTGATGTGGTCGTAAAGAGATACGGCGGTTGCGCATCTTAATAAATGCACTTCTTGTCAAGAAAAAAAGCGACAAAAACTGCAGTTGTGAGTGGGGTGGCCAAAAGGGTGGCCAAGCTTAGGTCAGTGGTGATAGACCCTTCTCCCTGGCGCCGCCCCTGTCTCTGAATCTGTGATCTCATAGGCTGTATAGACCAGAAGACTTTTGTGAGTCATGGTGAATTATAATTTAATCTTTTATTTATTTATTTTTATTTCTACAATCTGTATTTAGTATTTGACAATTTATTTTATATGCTATTTATGAATTTCTCTTCTGGTTGCAGATAGATATTCACAATAGCCTATATATTTACAGGTATAGGCCTATTTCATTATTGATTTATTTATTCATTCATTCATTAGCCTATTTTAATTAATTATGGCCCAACTTTGATCAGAGATGTTTTGTACAAGCACAGTTTTTAGGGGGACATTTTCAGAACCTTTGAACAACATATAGCCTACTATATAATACTTATAATACTACTAGCTAACTTATTATTTGACTAATTTGCTGACCAATCCCCTCATGCCTCCATTCCTATCTTGTCCCCTGATTCCACACACATTCTGAATACACATTATAGAGTATTAAACTTAGAGTGTGAAGGTTATGAGAGTAAAAATTCCATCCACACTTGACCCTACACTAGCACTCTCTATTCTATTTCTATTCTGTCTACTTGTTTTCTTTTTATTCATTAAAAAATCTTGACCCTCTAACACTATTCTATTTCTGTTCTATACTGGTTTTCTTTTTATTTATTATAAAAAAAACTTGACCCACTACGTACTGCGTTAGACTATCCAAGACTTGTCACAGCAATTACATATTGTTGCTCTTTTGTTGCTTTGATTGCTTCTATTGTCCTTCTAGTGAAAGTTGCTTTAGATAAAAGTGGCTACTAAATGATAAATGTAAAAATTAGAGAACTGTTAACATTTGAATTAAATCACAATTTAAGTACAATTAGATTTGGAATGTTTATGGCAAGATAGTTAACATATACTAAGACTAATTGCCTTTTGATGTACAGTATATGTTAACTAACTTGCTTAGTGACTTCACAGCCCTAATTCTAAATTATCCACAGAGGTCTAAATAAAGGTTCTTGAGTGTGTGTGGTCACATGTTTACTGACTGTCAGCCTGACACACTTTCTTTCTGCATGTTTTTGTGCATATTTATGCGTATCACATGGATTTTGTTTCTAGTTACTTGTCCTTTAATCTATGATACATTATTTTGTTGTTTGATGAGAATTAAGATCACATACAGCAGGCCACTTGGAAGAGCATCAAAACTCATCAGATCTGACAATAACCCTCAGTGGTGTTAGTGTGACCCCTGACTTTGACATCTTCTGGCATGGTGTATGACATTTGGCACCACGCTTATCTTATGTTGGCAGCTGATACGTCTCAGCAATAATTAATCCAGTGTTAAATGCTAACCTAATTACACAAGGAATCAATGACCTTTCTTCCAGCAGGAAATACTCCAGGAAACTGCTAAAGGTTATTAAGGGCCACTTGTAATTTTAGCAGTACATTTAGCATAACTTATTTGAAAAGCAGAGGACCAAAATTGTTTTGATTTAGAAGGCTTCATATTTTATGTTGGTCTGCCAGAGGTGAAGGACAATATGGTAATGGATGTTACATGACAGTAATGGTATCATCTGAATCAGTAGGTTCTCCTGTTTAATTTGGAGTATTATATATAAGATCCATGATTTTTAAAAAAGCTAGATAAGGCTGATGGATATGGATCATGGATGACCGGTCACATAGAGTTTGGCAATTGTGAAATTAAAATGTACAGTAAAAAAAAAAAGTCCATATAATGATGTTAAACAATGCATCACATTTCTTTGGACTTCCTGTTTCAGCTTTGTTTAGTCTTTCACCCAGCAGCAGCACACCAGCCTTTTATAGTGAAGAAGTTTATAATGTCATTTCTGTCCACAGAGGAACTGCATTATAGGAACTAGAGACAACAAGAGGAAGAATAAAAAATCTACTTCTCATGCTTGAACACAAAGTTGATGTTTGGGTTCAGGATGACCCCTAAATGTCATTGAGTTGTGTGAGGGGTGGGTGTGTTTGATATTTGTGATGTGTTGAGTGTCCAGATGCTCACAGCAGGGATAACCTCCACCTCCTGCAGACTGTGTCTATTTGGTTTCACACAGAAACACTCACATTGACACACATGAGCCTTCATTAACACCTTACAGTGCCGCTGGTAAACACAATCCATTTATTCATTTAGACTCTTGTAGCGTTACCCTGACTGTGACAGACAAAATCTAGGGAACAGAAGAACCCTCAGTGGTCTTAACCCTGCAAACATTATAAAAATATTGTGAAAAAAATCAATTAAAAGCAGCAAAGAGCAATGCTATTAAACAATTTGATTATTTAAAAAAAAAGCTAGTGTAACAGTCTACAAACTAACTAAGTTTTACAAACTAATAGGGACAATTGCCTTGTAGCTTAACTTTATACTTACATTTTACATACACTTTATGACTTTATACTTACTGTTAAGTAAATAGAAATACATAAATAATACACCATGACAACTGCAATATTCTCTAT